TACTGTACAACTAACAAACTTTTAATTTAACAAGTTCAAACAACTGTTTAACATTTGTAGTTGCGCTTCACATTTAACTCTCTGACAGAAGAGAAGCTGAACGCAGTGCCATCGACCAGCCAGTTTCCAAGCTGGACACCTTCAGACCAGCATGAAGCAGGTCTGAGTCAGTCTGCACTTCCTATAGGAATAACTGAAGATGATGTTATTTCAGTGATGGCTAGGAAACTATTCTGACTATTTTAACTGGCCTGACTCAAGATGGAAAAGTTGCTTGGAGAACAACAGAAAAGAAGTTTTAGTGAACAAACTATTGTCAAACAAAAACTTCAGCTTTGTGGTGTAATTGTCTTTTTCAGTGATGCCTCTTGTTAGCCTCTTTAGGCTGAGAATCTGATCAACCCTCTCCTCATGTTACTGGATTTTAACTTTTTCATTTGACTTGTGGTGTTTTGTTTTAGCAACTAAACCCATGATGTTGATGTCAGATGCTCATCAACATGCTGAATAAAACAAGTTAAGCACCTGAAGAAGAACGCTTGGTGCCAATAAATCACAGCAGAGGAAGGAGCAACAATGTTGGACAATGACATGGAAATAGTGACAGAAATACAGCACGTTTCTATTGGTTCATCCAGAGGTTAACCTAATGTGCAGGTGCGCATAGCTTTTGTTATTTACGTGCACCAAAACATGTGTCACACCTTCTGCCACTGAATGAAACACTTCAGGTGCTGCCTTTGTTGCCAGTTCTCACACATATTAGTGATTTAACACAGCATGTAGATGTTTTGTACACTGAACCCGTTCATTTTCATAAGAATGATCAAGTTAGGGGGAAAAAAAAGCATCTCTTGGTGGTAAATTGTAGGAACCACATCCGACTCCTCCCCTGCTTGTTCAGGACCAGTTTCTTGGCACCTTTTTTATCTTTTAATTTGGAACAATGTTGTTGCAAAAACAGCATTTCCAGGCACACTTGGGCTGCGATTTTTCCAATAAATGCAATGTTGATCATATCTCAGTCTTTCCCACTGGTTAAGAATTTACTGGTGATGGTGTGTGGTGTGGTGTGACCGACGTGCATGGAGAGACTCATGCAGTTTACAAGAAGAATGTAACCCAGGCAGTCATCTGGAACAACAACTCAGAGATGTCATGGAAAAGTCTTGAATCAGCCGACGCTAAATATGACCAGCGTTCCTTAAACACTACACCTGAAACGGTGGATGCTACAAGGCTGCTGTGCTCCTAGAAGCTTCTAGTCCACACCTGGTTGTGTGGTGAAGAATGATACAGATTGAAATGTCAGATTTACCTGAGCTGAACCAGTGATTTTATCTACCTGTGGAGACCGCCAAGAGACAGAGGCTGACCGGATAAATGTCAGGTGCACTGGTGCAACCGATAAATGTTTTGTCATCTGCTGATAAAATGTCACTTTGCAGACGTTAGTGTGACCAAAATAGTGGCACACTGGAGCCTGATCTGCCCGTTATGTTATATTGGTGAAAGAAAAGTTGTCAAGCCCTGAATCAGTCCGTGGCATTTGCCCAGTCAGTTTACTTAACGTGTCTCCAACCACACATGCAAGCGACCACATCTGGTTTGGGTACATGCAGATGTTATCTCTCGTATGTTTCGCTGTCTGCTCACTACATCTCGCTCCAACCCTCTCCTGCTGTCTTCCTTGCATTCCTTGGCAGGTCCCGGCCTGCTGTGCAGCACAGTGGAGAATTCCAGCAGGCCACTCTCACCTCTCAGTCACATTTCTTGCTGTGTGTAATTTCCATTTCTATGTATATTTCATAGCGAGCAGCAGATTCAGATTCAGCTGAACGTTCTGTTTTTGTGATGCCAGAAGACGATATTGTAAAGCTTACATGATGCAACTTTGATCACGAAGGCCAAGTCAGATTGTAAAGCGCCACAATGCACACACCTACTCACACGTCGCTCTGTGAGAGGATGTTATGCAAGTCCTGCACTGTAGTGAGGGGTGATTAGTTTAAAACGTATAACAGCAGGAAGTGTGAATGGGTGAGACACGGATAGAGGGGGAGAGAAGGAAGATAATGGGGATGGCACAAATGCACTTACAACACAAACAGGTGTTTTAACTGCATACAAAAGACACTGACAACAGACACAATTAAGGTTGCAAAAGTGAATCTGCAGGTGTTTTCATACAAGCACACAGACTATCTCAGTGTCTGAGCAGTTAAATGTTGCTGCTCTGACAGAGAAAGTGTTTTAAGATAACAGACAATGAGTGAGGAAGAGACGTACCTGCCAGACAGAAGTCAGCCGGTCAAAGAACACTGGACGCAGACACACTGCTAGTAATTATTCTCCAGCTTAAGCCTCCCAAAGCCGCCGCTCTCAATCTCTTATTCTGCACTTTGGATTAAAGACTTGAATATTTTGTCTTGCTATTTTTCTGGGGTAAAAGTCTTTACGTGTACACAGTCTGGTATTGCACATGTGCAATACAAGTGTTGGATTTGAAATGAATCAGTGACTGAAAAGGTTTCACGTGTTGAATTAGAGCTTTCCCACACCGTCCACCTGGTGTGGCTGTGAACACCTTGACGTTAAGTCAGCACTTTCACCTCGTAGTCATTGTTTCAACTGAAATCCAAGCTGGTGGAGTCGAGCCAAAACAATGAAAACCATAGCACTGTGTCAATACTTCCACACTGTGCTGTACCTTCAGTGTAGCCACGCTGTTACGCCATTACACCCTGATATCTAGATGTACTGATCTCAGCCACTGAAAGAGCGATGAAAAGGATATTAATGTCTTGATTAGAGACACTAAAACCAGCTTGTATGTAATGTAAGTGTGGCTGTGCTAGTTACAGGAACTCGAGCTTCAAACTTGACCTCATAATTGCGCAATGCTGTTTGTCACTTAGACCATAAACATACTTCTCCTCCTCCTCCTCCTCCTCCTCTCTGTCCCCGATTCAAACATGCTTCATTTTTCACTGTGTGTTAACCAGGTAGCTCGATCCTAAGCCACGACACGAATCAGACCTCCTTCACAGCACCGTTCCACTCTGTGAGGCTAACGATACAGACGTCATCACAGAAAACTTTTTTTTTTTTTTTTTTTGGTCAAACACTTGTTTAGAATTCTGCTTCCATTGGTGCCCAGTTTCTCAGAGAGGCCTGCTCTGGGACTAAATCTGGCTTGGAGTAAATAGCTGCATTGTTGGCTGATGTCTGTGGAGTGACGTCAGTGAGCCTTATCAGTGTTCTCTAACTTTACCTCAGAGGGGACCTGACAGCAGACCCTCCCCACCACGGGGCAGCCGAAACCACTGCCTGATCAAAAATAACACCGAACACATCAGCTGCAGTGAAAACTAAAGCAGCAGCGTTTATTGGCCAACTCTCTTGGGAAACTCTTCTTCCCTTTTGTTGCTCTCAGATTCTCTCCCTTCAGAGGTTCAAGTCATCAAGCTACAGCCCTGTGCAGCTTTAACTGCTGTGCTATTGAACATGCGTGCCTCCAGCTATGTTAGGAGTGATACGAATAAAATCCCCTTTCACGGTGCTGCATATGTAACATAATACTGTGATTACATTTTCTGGAAATCAAACATGAAAATTGCCCAAAGCTAGAAAAACTAATAGGAAGTCTGCATTTGGTGATGCTCCATAAATCCAATATGCCTCCAGTGAGCTCTGATTTACAACTTGACCAGGAATATGAAATGGCTTCAGGGGGGGACGGTGGAGCTAAAAGGCAGCCACACCTGTGGAAGGCTGCATCTGGTGCACCTTCCTCAAGCTGCCTGGGACAACATCACCTCGACAAGAACAGCCGCGGTTTGTATTCTTATGAATGACGAGCAGGGCCCCTTCAGAGGAAAGCTCAGCCCACGGACGTGAATCTCTGCACACAAAAAAATCATTCACAAGTTCCCTGTACAGATCCTTAAAGAGAACGAGGATTACCGGCTTAGGAGACATGCTAAAACCTGAATCCCAGCTACAGAATTTCTACCGAAGCGGCCTAACCGTTAAGTCATTCATCATTTGTCAAACTGGTTCCATAAACATCCTTCAGATATGAATTAGTAATTCCACGCTCACCTGCAACATCAATTGGGACGGACATCGTTTCAGAACTAATCAGAACACAGCTGCTGAGGTTTCACTGTCAGAGGGGTCACGGCGTCTGACCCCGCAGCCCAACTACCGAGAAATGAGCCTTTTTGGTGTATTCAGAGTGAAATCAGAACAGAAAGGTTAATATGATCAGGGCAGAAACGCTGACTACGTGAATAATCCTCCAGAGTTTCACATCCTCCTTGTTTTAGCTGCTGTCTGTCCATCTCCGGCCAATAAAACAGACACAGCTTCGGCTCTACGGTGGGCTCTCTCTCGGTTTGGTAGAGGCTTCCTTAGGTTGGGGGGCTATTTTCGGCAACATGAGTAAAAGATATAGTGCTTCTTTTATTTATTTTGTCTAAAGATAATAAAAGGAACATGTAACATACCCTCTCCAAGCAGAAAAGCAACAGTCCAACCATCTGATTCACCGGCTGAGGTCTAAGCACTCGGGAATGTGACAAACTCACTTCACAAACCTAATGACTCTGTTGTTGTCTTGATCTGGGCTAAAGTCGGACACACACACACACACACACACACACACACACACACACACACACACACAAGTAATTATGAACTAATCAGCAATGTTGTCTGGAAGTACAACTAGAAAACTGCCCCTGAAGCGGTGGTCCCTGAGAGTCTCCCTCCACACATGGGAGCAGCTTCATGCCAATAACAGATAATCAATCAATCAATCCAGGGCAATTAATGGCTCATGAGCTCATGAAGTTAAATGGACATGTAGTGGACCAGCTGAACTTCTTCCTCTGGTCACCCTGAGAGGTGTTTGGTTCGAAGCAGCACCAGTGAGACACACTGATGAAGGAGTTCAGCCACTCCACGGACCAGATCCGTCCACGGACGACACTTACCTTGATTCAGTGTCTGCCGGGAGTCCGTTGAACAATGTGCCGCACACGAACCGGCCCAAAGTTAGTCTCAGAGTCTCCACGACAGCTCCGGTACGATCAGCGCCACAGTTCCACCGTCTCCGCGGAGGACGCAGCAGACGTCGCAGGTGGACCGGAGCTCCGTGTGCTTCCTGAATGTTTCAGAAGGTGAACCACCGCCACCGCTGCATTTCCCTCCGCCAGCTCTCCCTCCGCTGCCTCCGGGCCTCCGTCAAGTCTGACACAGAGACACGAGAGCACAGCTTCCGGTAGCGGGGCTCCAAAATAAAAGCTGCGGCTGCAGCGCTCATTGGCTGATGGGAGGTCCTGCAGGACACCTTTGGAGCCATGACGTCATCAGGGTCCAGGTGAGTGGACTAATTAATGCTGCTGCGATCAGTCGGATCAAATCTTCAAAAACAATGTTTTTCAGAGGATATGATCATTAAATCCAGTTTGGTTTCATACCATCAGTGTGCATTGTTCAAACGTTTTTTGCAGGATTGAAATACCAAAAAAATCACCAATATTTGTATTATGAAGCCTCACATTTATTTATATTTACACTTGATTTGTTGAATTGTTTCAGTGTTAAAGTATACATGAGAATACCAATAAGCCTCACGTAAAGTAACGTTAAAAATATAAATGAATCAATATCAAACAAAATGATGTCTGTATTTTAGGTGCATCACATTATATTATGTACAAATGATGATTGTGTTGTTGTGCCTCCTAAAAGCATCACTTCAAAAAGTGAAATGAGCTCTGAACATCCTTTATTCTGTGAACTTTCCCCACTGTGGGCTCAATAAAGTTATCTCTGTCTTTATCTTTAACTATTGGACATTTAGCCTTTTTAAGATCTAAAACACATTTTCAAAAATATGTAGTTCTTGAATAACAAAGATCAAATTTTGTGACTTCAGCGGGTTAAAGGAAACTGAAAAAAGATCAGGGGTGTTTCTGTTGTTGCAGTTTTCTGTCTCCTCCAATAAAAACAGTTAAAGTGAGCTCATGCCTGCTGTTCTTTACAAAACTAGAATCCTTTATTGTGGTATGTAGTCTCATGTAGAGGACTTGTGATCCAGATGTGGTCACATCTGTATCAGCGTGATTCTATCCAGTGTTACTTAAAAAAAAAAAAAAACTGCCCTAAAAGTTAAACAATTACATGACCATGAATGGCAAGTTCCACTTCCAGCTCATTCTGAAAAATTGTGCCATGACAAGATGAGACAGTCGACATGAGCGGCAGGACTTCAGCTAAAGAGACACGACAGTGAGTAAACGTACAGGCCTCCAGGCAACCTTCACACTTCATTGCATTTTCTCATTTTACTTACTTTTCATGAACATAATGTACCAATTAGCATCCAAAATATTGCGATTAACATATTTGTTATGCTAACTAGCGCTGTGTTGCACATCTTTTCTGTTAGAATCAATCCTGTCTACAAGTTCAGGGGGCTGCTTATCTTCAGGACCACGTGCAAACTGACCTGATCAGCCAACCGGAGGAGGCCTGTGAGCTCCAACCTGACCAAACGTCCAGAGGAGTTTTATCTGAGTGAAAGGTTTATAGATGAGAGATAAAATGCCCCATTACGTTTATCTACAGAGGAAGCTCAGGGTTACACGATAACTGCAGCCGCAAAACACAAATAATCAATATCAAAGACAAAATACTTGTCTTGTACCTTGTTTTTGTTTTTAAATCAATACTAGACTATTGTGGGCAGTGTATAAACAAATAAATATCAATCTAGGTCTTTTACCATAAATCATATAAACACCACGTGCTTTTATAAATCCCTTTTAACTAAACTTTCCAGTGATTCTGTGATGCTTTTATTTTGAAGGGCGCCTCCTTCTTTCATTTCCTCTCTCTGAAAGTGTTTGACGCAGTTTTCCGGCTGAGTCGTGAAACACAGCCGGCATTCCTGCAGCAAGCTGACACCAGCTGATACCACCGCTGCACAACTCCTGACACATCATCTCACCAGGAAACACTATATTTATTTTTTATTTTTATCCTTTTCCTTGTAGAAGGACCAAAGTTAGGCTCCAGGTCAAGATCAGCCTTTAAAAGGCGGTGTTCTCATATGAGGAACTGTTAATTTATCCAGTATTACTTTTTACCCACAGATTTAATCCATGAGAGATCCGGGTTCTGCAACGCCCCCTTCCTCCTGTTTACCTTCATGAAGGCTCCTCAGCAGCTCAGGGTTTGGCAGGAAATGAGGAGCTCACTGCCATCTGGTGGTCCAACTGGTTATCAGCCTACTGAGCCAGTAACACTGGTGGGGGGTTGACTGTGAAAACTCTGTAAAAATCCACTTTGTCATAATTCTAAAAATACTAACTTACATCTGCTCCCTGCGCTTGGATCTCAGATATATTCACACTGAACCACAGAGCTCAGGAAGCAGTTGACTCTCAGGTATATATCTAAAGGTCACTGTCTTGTATAATTGATGATATGCCTCGTGGTCATTGCTCTGACTTGGTAAATGGTCTGCACTTGAGCTGCCATGCAAGGTGCTGCCTGCCATTGGGAGCAACTTCAGCTTCAGTGTCTTGCCCAAGGAGGGGCAGGGGATCGAACCGCCAACTTTGCAACTGGAGGACAACCCGCTCCACCACCTGAGCCGCCACGACTTAAGAAAAACAGATCAAAAAGACAAACTCAAGAACACATTTTGTTTGTGAAACCACACAGAGAGCATCTTCCGCTCCACATGTTCAAACCAACGTTCATAGACCGTCTCACAGCCGACGGTATCATGCTGTAGTATGAATAAAATAACCCCACGTGTTGCCAATTTGTTTAATTAAGAATCACTTTAATCACCAAGCGCAGGTCTACAATGAATTAGTCCTGAGCAGGTGTCAGAGAGTTAAAAACAAAGGACACAAAAACAGTGAATTAAAAGCAAAAATGTGCAAATACTAACCAACTAAATCACTGAAAGTGTTAAAGACGCAGTGCAAAATACAAAAAAAGGCACAAAGAGGATGACTGGATATTTACATGACTGGTTTTTAGAAAGACATACAGTATTTAAATATTGCTTGTGATGTTACTGCTCACTGAGAAGATGACTTTGGAAAAAAGAGACGCTCAAGTTTATCCGTCTTTCATCCTGTAAGATAAGAAGTCTGTTAACGGTTGGAGAGGGCAGCCAGTCATCTGCTCGTATAACACGTTAGAGGAAAGATGCAGCAGCGCTAAAGCAGGCAGAGATGGAGGATGTGACGACGGCTCAGGTGTTCCAACAAAGCCTCGTCACGTTCCTCATGACGGGAGATGACACGAGAGTTTGTTCCTTCTTACTTTAATAAAAAAAAAACAAAGCCTCAGGTGATATTTAGTCTGTATTCAGAGGATATTTGCTTCCACGCATCATGTTTGACTGGGTTCTTTACTGTTTTTATGCTGTCTCTGATTAAAACATATTTTGATCCAAACTGCAGGAAAAGCTGAGTCACCTTATGATGTAATAGCACACATTATCCCACAAGGGGGCAGCAAAGACCCGCTCAGGTCCATCAGCTGAGAGGAAAGTTGATGGATGAGTCACTTCTCGGAGCACATTTGAGTGACTTCTGTAAAGAAAAAGCTCCCAGTGCGACTGCTTTACTCGAGGTTGAACAATGATATTCAGCGTCGTTACTGCACGTCTTTACTTCCCTGATTATGCTCCTGTGTGCTGCACCCACAGGACGACCAGAGCACACCCCAACCAGAGCCGTGGGTTAAACCCTAACTGGTTTTGTCAGGATATGTGGGCCTACACTTAAACAATTTCCTTGGATCAGTGTGTTTATTGAACCCCATCAGAGATCTAGAGTCAGTCCTGTGCCACGTGCTTGACCCCCGGTGGGCAGCAGGGGTTAAAGGCTCTCCCTCAGAGTTCCCCTCATAATGTTCTCATTGTCTGAAATTTGCTAAACATAGGCCGCATTCAAAGGGAGCAGCCTATGCAGCGTGGCTCTGGGTCCAGCATGCTTCCATTACTGCTCCTCTTATTCGATTAAATGTACCCTAACTCGGTCCAAACCCGCACTGTGCATAATCTCATCACCGACGATAAGCATGTAATAAAAAGCATATTTAACTTGAAAGGGCACCTTATGCGAATGCGTATAATTATGGATATCAAAATATAATCATTTGTTTAATTGTGAGGCCCTGCCAAGAGGTATGTAATTGCTTGAAAGAAATATGGCTGAAATTGGATTGCAGTGTCTGAGATGTGACCTGGGACCGGGTTTGGCACGAACATGAAGGCCCGACCAGGGTCAGACCTGAGGCCACCTTCCTGTTGTGCTTCAGCCAATGGGGAGAGACTTACTTCACCAATCGTATTATGGAGAGGAAGTTTAGCATCAGAGCAGGGTTATAGTAATAATAATGCACCTAGAAGAAGTGACTGAATCATCTATTTACCTCATGAATGTGTCGTTTAGTTTATGAGATGGACTTTAACTCGTGTCATCTGTAAACTCACAGGGCGACACTGCATTGCTGTGAAACTTAAGGAAACCCTTTGAGTGTAAGTTTGGGAGCGTTTTCAAACTGTTTTGCTTTAAATAAACCTCGTGTTTGGCATCCATATCCGACCGAGGTTGTGTTTCTAATACAGATAGCGGGCTGATGTATCACAGTGATTATGTGTCTCACACCATCCCCAGAGGTCGGCCAAAGTCTGGCCATGCGGTCGTACTGGTCGGCTACACGGCCTACAGTATCACAAGAACAGGTGCCGGGCCTTAATGATCCCAGCGGGAATTTGGTTTCATCTTTGATTAATTGGAATGTTAACAGGAGAAGAGTTATCCTAATAGCTTCTTGCTGCCAACCCTGCGGAAGTTTTTAGAGGGGCGAGAGAGGAAAGGGCTTTAAAAATAGACTCCATCAGTGCACGATGGGAAAAGAGCTGCCATTTAAATCCCGACAAAGCAATTTGCAGCTCATAATCAAGAGAGCGGAAGCATTTTATCGCGTTTCCCTTTACAGTATAAGCTGCCCAGTTCCGCCACATCCACCGCCGGGTTACCATCAGCCTGCTGGATGTTGACTGGTGCTGGTTTGTGCAGCTCCACTGGTGCAGAACCAGCGACTGCTTGGAGGCGACGTCCCATTAAGAAAACCTGCTTGTTTGGTGGAGTGAGGTGATTTGAGTAAAGAGGGTTTCCCTGATGCAAAGAATGTGTCACACACTGTGAAGT